ACAACTAACAGACGAAAAGGACACCGCACAAGCGGCGAATACTCATTCTACTTCTTAGGAGCTCGTTGTTTGAGGCACGCATTTGAATGTTGAAAATCTATCTTTTTCTTCTTCTTCCTCTTCCTCTTCTTCTTCCTCTTCTACTTCTTAGGAACTCGTTGTTCGTCCTCCACATGCTCCTTATTCCTGATCTGTTTGCACGCCAAACCCCTTGAAGAAAGATGTCAAAACCAAACAACTAACAGACGAAAAGGACACCGCACAAGCGGCGAATACTCATTCCTTGAACAAAAGAACTCAACAGTGGAACAAGCCAGGCATCATAGTTCTCCAAAGAAGAAATAATTAAGCTCCCGACTTTTGTATGGGCCTTTGCCTTTTCCTCTTCCTTTACTGCTACCATGTCTCCCTCGTCCGAGGTAGCAGCTCCTTCCTCGTGAAGAATGGCCTGTGAATCCGTGGACGCTGCAACTTATTGTTGCTTTAGTTGTCCCTTGTTTGGGCCTGCAGGTATCTTTGACGGTCGCTGTGAGCCGCCGTATTCAAGCACTTGAGTGGTGACTGTCTCAGTGACTTGCATGAGTGCGCTGCAGCGCTCGACATAACGTCTGAATGAAGTTATACTTCATGCCTTCGCACAGTGACAAAGATGAAAGGAAAAAATTGTTGTTTAACAATCAATATGCCAAATAAATGAGACGTTGTAGAAGTCCATAAGTTCGGTGTGCATGCCAGCCGTTGATACTTGGCAATTCAATCTTCGGTGTGCATGCTAGCCGTTGATACTCGACAATTCAATCTGGACTTTCCATAGCGTGTTGAGTGCACTTCATCAAGTTCTTCGTGACCTTGAGGTGTGGTGGTTCCACTTGGAACCGTTTGTGCCATGCCTGAGTGGTGAGTGTCTCAGTGACTTGCATGAGTGCGCGCTGCAACGCTCGACATGACATCTGAATGAAGTTATACTTCATGCCTTCGCACAGTGACAAAGATGAAAGGAAAAAATCGTTGTTTAACAATTAATATGTCAAATAAATGAGACGTTGTAGAAGTCCATAAGTTCGGTGTGCATGCCAGCCGTTGATACTCGGCAACTCAATCTTCGGTGTGCATGCTAGCCGTTGATACTCGACAATTCAATCTGGACTTTCCATAGCGTGTTGACTGCACTTCATCAAGTTCTTCGTGACCTTGAGGTGTGGTGGTTCCACTTGGAACCGTTTGTGCCATGCCTTTTCCTCTTTCTTTGGGCTGCAAACCACCTACCCAGGTTACTGCTACCATGTCTCCCTCGTCCGAGGTAGCAGCTCGTTCCTCGTGCATAATGGCCTGTGAATCCATGGATGCTGCAACTTATTGTTGCTTTTGTTGTCCCTTGTTTGGGCCCGCAGGTATCTTTGACGGTTGCTGAGACGCCGTATTCAAGCAATTGAGTGGTGAGTGTCTCCGTGACTTGCATGAGTGCGCGCTGCAGCGCTCGGCATGAAGTCTGAATAAAGTTATACTTCAGGCCTTCGCACAGTGACAAAGATGAAAGGAAAAAATCGTTGTTTAACAATCAATATGTCAAATAAATGAGACGTTGTAGAAGTCCATAAGTTCGGTGTGCATACCAGTCGTTGATACTCAGCACTTCAATCTTCGGTGTGCATGCTAGCCGTTGATGCTCGGCAATTCAATCTGGACTTTCCATAGTGTATTGAGTGCACTTCATCAAGTTCTTCGTGACCTTGAGGTGTGGTGGTTCCACTTGGAACCGTTTGTGCCATGCGTACACAAACGCGTCTCAGCTCCTCTTGGTATGGAGGTCATCGATCTTAACACCATGGGTGGTGTTGTCGAGCCATGCTTGACACACACCTCCCGACCGGTGGTAAGGGTACTCATGCCATTTATGCGGCTGCAGCTCATGCATGTCCAATTGAAATGGCTCATGCATGTCCAAGTGAAATGTGAACTGCGGCCACTATTGTATCGAGTCGTTCTCGTGCATGCCCAAGTGAAGTGTGAGCTGCGACCACCATCGTATCAGGTCGATCTTCGAAGATGATTTCACTAAATGGTTAACAGGACCCCCCATTTCCAGGTCGTTGACGCACGCCGGGATGGTAGAGGCTCCTGCACTGTCGGTTGTCGCCTGCTGCACCACGTCATTGCATGCGTGGCTTGAGGACGTCGACCATGCCGACCTGCCCGTCGTTGTGGCGCCACAAGTCCAAAATATCGGCTTGGGCACTGCGCAGGTGGCGAGGTCTGCCACAAGTAAAATCGTGACAGCCAGCTGCGACTGCAGGAGCACCGCATCAGGTCCACGAGCGAGGGGCTGACATGGCCTGCTGCTGTGCTGAGGTGGCCTGCTGACATGGCACCTTACCAACACCTGCCACCGACGCGGAGAAGGAATGTGGCACCTTACAGACGCCAGCAACGTGGAAAAGGAAAAAGGCAGTGGAGATGGATGGCAATATACAAGAAGAAGAAGAAGAAGAGCATGCAGAATGGGGTGGGTGGGAGGGAAAATCATGACAGCCAGCTGCGACTGCAGGAGCACCGCATCAGGTACACGAGCGAGGGGCTGACGTGGCCTGCTGCTGTGCTGAGGTGGCCTGCTGACATGGCACCTTACCAACACCTGCACCGAAGGGGAGAAGGAAAAGGAATGTGGCACCTTACAGATGCCAGCAACGTGGAAAAGGAAAAAGGCAGTGGAGATGGATGGCAATATAGAAGAAGAAGAAGAACAGCATGCAGAATGAGGTGGGTGGGAGGGAAGGCTAAAAGCACCTGGACAACATTTCTTCACCCCCCATGGGGTCAGATAGATCGGCCAGATACACGCCAAGTGGGGGGACTGAAGTGAAAACCAAATTTCTGATTTTGCAGACAATAAAAAAATTAGAGAAAAATGGAAATTCCCCTGCAATAGCAAAATTCCCAAATTCAGCAAGATCCAAGCGATGAGAGCTTCTACTTCCCAGTGATAATCCCGACAGGATCCCTAATAGAAAGAAAAACATTTGGAATCCCCCCAACTGCAGAAAAGAAGTAATCAAAGGAGACTTGCAACTAATCAATCAATCAATCAGTTTGATGAATCGATTGATCACATCGTCGTGACTGACAGGTTGATAGGGTTTGATTGATTAATCACTCACCTTGAATCGATTGATCACATCGTCGTGACTGACAGGTTGATAGGGTTTGATTGATTAATCACTCACCTTGGACTGCTCCAACAGCCTCAGTCCTCTCCTACTTCCCTATGGACTGCTCCAACAGCGAACTGATGCATGCTCATCTGAGGATGAGCAACGTACAAATCTGAAGGAGCACCAATGTGATGAGGCCTCAGGACAAGCAGTGCGATCAGCAAATGATGCGCATCCAGGAAATGTAATGGAATGTTGCAGCGGAATACTCCAAGATATGACCTGCCTTGTCAGACTCAGACTCGACTCGCATAGATATCATCACACATGTCGAATCAGTACGGAGGGAAACACATGAAAGAAAAATCCCTCTTTACACACGCACATGGGGAGAAGAAGACATGGAAGTGGAGACGAAGGAGGAAGAAGGGGGAGAAGAAGAGAAAGCCGCGCGACGATCCAAAAATACTCCCCCCCATCAAATGTCCAATAATAGTCTCCCCCAGAATGTCGAATCAGATCCTGAGCACTCATGGGGCCAAAAAAGTCACTGCCAAAAATCTCTCTGCCTCTCTCTCTCGGAGAAGAATCAGGGACAGAAGAGGAAGGAGCATCAGTCTTCCCTTTCTCTCTCTCACCTGATGCCGATGATGCTCACAAATACTGACCAGCGAAGATGGTGGCCCTGAGCAGCAGTCTCCCCTCGCTCTCTCTCACCTGATGCCGATGATGCTCACAAATACTGACCAGCGAAGAGGGTAGCCCTCAGATGCAGGGAGCAAAGTCCTAACTATTGTGCCAAGTAAGTCCCCACCTGAAACGGATTCCACCTTTGCAGTAGCCGATGCAGATCCGAGGGCTCGATCCCTAGTCCTTACCTTACCTGTGTACAGTATCTGTGTCGAACCCAGGAGTTGAACCCACGACCTGTGTCTTTCCCCACAGTTGGTAGGTTGTCGTAGGTCTGTAGATTATAGGGGTTCGATCTGTAGACCTGTCAGATAGGGGTCTGAGTGAGTTCTGGAAGTCGTAGCTAAAGCTCCTCCGAAGGGTCAAGATCGTAGCTGCTACAGTCCTGAAAGGTCAAGGTCGTAGCTGCTACAGTACCGAAAGGCCAAGTCCACGGTCTTCTGGAAGGTCCGGAAGTGGCCTTTCGGGTACTGCCCACAGTAGACCGAGGCAAGTGGGCAAGTGGCGAAGTCCACCAGTGCCGAGTCAGCGGTACCCAGTCCCAGTCAGTCTCGGTCCAGTCAAGCAAGTACCGTGTGGGACTGTGTGCACCAGGGGCATGGGAAAGGGGCAGACCAATGAGCTACAGAAGTGTAAATCAAGAGGCAGCGCCCAGCCATTCATTCATTCCTGCATAAGCCATGAGGAAGCGCTGCCACAGCAGCGAGGTGGTCTGCAGTGAGCCCGAAGACGAAGACAGTACCGAAAGGCCAAGTCCACGGTCTTCCGGAAGGTTCGGAAGTGGCCTTTCGGGTACTGCCCACAGTAGACCGAGGCAAGTGGGCAAGTGGGCAAGTGGCGAAGTCCACCCGTGCTGAGTCCCAGTCAGTCTCAGTCCAGTCAAGCAAGTACCGTGTGGGACTGTGTGCACCAGAAGTATAAATCAAGAGGCAGCGCCCAGCCATTCATTCATTCCTGCGTAAGCCATGCGGAAGCGCTGCCACAGCGACTTGTGCGAGGTGGTCTGCAGTGAGCCCAAAGACGAAGTGGGCGAGAAGGAGAGTTTAGCCATAGCCATAGAGGTTGTAGCGGCCATAGCCGCCATAGCTGATAGAGGAGTGTAGCGTGTGTGTGCGTGTGTGTACAGGGTGTCGCGTGTGGGATATCCAGGGTGATCCTAGGTCGAGTGTGTGTGAACAGCAGAGTGGGGCGCGGTGACGAATAGGGTGTTGTACAGGTACTGATGCGAGCCGTCTGAAGCGAGCTTGTACCTGAACTGTGTTCTTGGTTTCCATATCTCTGAGTTTTGAGTGGGCGCTGGTCGCCAGTTTGCTGTGCTACCTGTTTGCATGCATGTGAAGTGTGAAAAGAGGCGAGTTTGACTGCATTGGTATCGGAGCTGGTACCTGCTATTCCACGCGCCATCGTCGTGTGCTGCAGGGAGAGTCGCGAGCCATAGCCGAAGGCGCCATCGGAGAGGAAGGACGGCGGGAGAGACCAAGGAGAGAAGTTGAAGCGGAGGAAGAAGAAGGAAGAGACTAGAACAAAAAAAAAAAAAAA